CATTATTTGCACAACTGATATGCAAGTAATAGGTAATAACGTGTTAGGTGAGCAATACAGCGAGTTGCATGCGAGCGTAGCGATTGCACGCTTCGCCGCCCCACGTGATTACACGCCTTACTAACCAACTAACAATCAGCGAAATAGGCAACAACAAATGGCTACTCGCATTTTAAACCAAAACTAAAAATTCTTATTTACACTAATTTAACATCAACAAAAAAAAACGAATAAACGTTATCATAGGTCACATTATCGTTACAGGATGTGATATTCACCTAGCTACCCACCGTTGCGAATTGACAAATTGTGCTGACACTGTTAAAAACATAGTATTGTTATTTGCACCACCTTGCAATATATACGTCTGTGCTTCCACCTAAGTTCAAAAGAGCTCGACAAACACAATATCTGACACTGTGCATCAATAGATCGAGGACAAAGAAGATATGGGACAAAGAGTTCTTTATCTCTGGAGACTGGTGTTCAGAGAGCCACAAAAAATGTATTCCACGCAACGACGAGCTGAATTTGTAAATAGGCGGCAGGTAGACGGTTGTAGGTGGATTCACGAGTGCAACGGTTTTATGTGAAAGGGCCTTTCCAAAGAAAAAAAAGTAAGTAGTAAAAATAAGTAAACACGATTTTTTGCAATTTCCCAGTGATTGGGTATCAACGTGTCTGTTTTTATTTTATTTTTGTGTGTGATGGAACACCTATTACATTTTACCGTATTTATGTAAGTTTTGTGTGTTCGATTTAAGTAACGTTAACATTTTATAGGTACATTTTTAGGGTTCCGTAGCTAAAAAGGAAAAACCGGAACCCATATAGGATCACTTTGTTGACCTTCCGTCTGTCAAGACCGTTTTTCTCAGGAACGTGTGGAGGTATCAAACTGAAATTCATATCTAATACTCAGGTCTACTGTCCCTTGGAGCTGTGAAAAAATCAAACTTCTAAGCCAAAGCAATCAAAAGATACAGCCGTTTATGCCGCAAATTTTCAAAACTCGCATGGGAATCAAAACCTACAGGGTACGAAGTAACGTCTTATAGTACAGATAAAGGAAAAATTGCGAAAACCGTAAATTTTTAGTAACATGATATAATAAATTTTATTTTTAAAAAATATTAAAATATACCTACAGGTTTGTACGGAACCCTCGGTGCGCGAGTCCGACTTGCACTTGACCGGTTTTTCATTTCTCTTGCCGACAAAATGTATCAAGCTTTCATTTAAAAAATAAGGTATAATGTAGTATAAATGGTACTTCATAATAATAACGTGTTAGGTAACGTGTTTATTATTATTTTTTTAACTCAGAGTTTATTCTAACTTGTTATTTCTTTTTATTAACAAACAATAAGAGCTATTTTATATTTATTTTTAACTTTTTAGTATTCATGGTCCAGAATTTACTACATTTCGCCTTCTCTTAATGTCATTTTCTTTGTGTAACTATTATAATAGTTTCTTGCGAATCATGTTGTTCCTACAAGTAAGTATAATATGAAATAAACGGCCCATGCCATCAGAGGTCCGATTCTGAAGAGTTGCATATGGATTCAATTAATCTGTAAGATAAACTCACTTTCTACCTCGGAATCAGTGGTATGATTTGAAATAAGGATACGAATTTCAATAAATATTAAATCACACCGCGGATTCCGTAGTAAAAAGTAAGATTGTTCGTACAGAAGAGCACTGATAATAGCCAGAACAGGATAAAATCTAAAGACAAAGTACCTACTCGTCAAGACAAATCAAACGAGCCCAGAATTGATGGGGTGGCGTCGTTTCATTACAGAGTTCCTATGGGCAACTTCTAGATAAGATAGATCAGCTACATGGTACCATATTTCTAGTCACCAAACTTACATAAGTATGCCAAATTTCAGTGAATCGGATAACAAGTGTTTGTTCGAAAAATGATTTACAAATTTTGAAGGACAAAACTTACATACATATATATATATATATATATATATACCTATAACATAGTTACAAACGAACAGTGCAAATTTAATAAGAGCTTGTAAAAAGTCACAAAGCAACTCCAATTTTGTAAACATACTGTCTGTTTTCTAAATGAATATTTCTTCACTCATTCATAACATTATCTTTGTCTTAATAGTATTTTATCTGTATCTTTGTTGGCTTGTTTATGTTCAGAGGGTTAAGAATTATTGTATGTACGTTAAGGTAAGGGCCTAACCTAAATACAGACTACACAAGCCCCAGAGCAACCCCAAGCAACAAGTGCCTTTTTATTTAAGGAAAAAGAGCATAAAAACGGAGAGCAGGTAGCATGTGAGAGGCTGGGCCATTTATAAACTATATGACTTGGCAAATAGGACCGGTTTTACAACGTCACCGTGAAGATAGGCCAGGGGCTGCTACAACAGAGTATTATGATCTGTATTCAGGTAACTTAAGGGCGATTTCTGGTTTACAAAATGTTTTTTGAGTAAATCTGACAATACAACCCTGTCGAGATTCAAAAGGCCCTAATAAAGTAGGTAATACGTTGTTGGTTGGGTGTGATTCCAAGATGTAATAATAAGAAAAATTTTGTATCCCTAATAAATGACTTGTAATTGTTATTGACGTTGCCATGTATTCTGCGACGGTGCGCAGCAATATTTATTTACATACAAAGCACATAAGTTAAATGTAAGCTGTCATAACTACAAACAGTATCAAAACAGGCAGCAGTAATACTGATTTGATAATAACTTACTTAAAACTACTTTCGTGAAAATTTCGATTTTAGTCATAGGTATATGGAAGTATTGGTTCACTAAGTGGCATTTAAATAATTATACTTCCTAAATTGAATTTTAATTAATGTCAACTAGCTACCGTTATTTTCATTCTCGCTAAGCGATAAAGTTGATTCGAGAATATAGCCCGGTCGTCGTTGTATGTGGTTGTATAGCTCGCTTTGCTTCAATTGATGCGGGCACACGCAAGTTGCAGCAACTGGTTTCAAACTTATTTTCCGTATGGCAATATTATGTTCGTCACATAAATAAATATTATAATTAAGTTTTTACGTTAACAGAATCAGCTATCAAATTTCATAGGATACCTATTCCCGAAAATCCGTATTTTCTTCTAATTTGGAATGAACTACCTATGTGTTCGTAAAAGGTGTACGTAATTAAAGCCGGAAAAAAAACTTATGCCTAAGTGACTGAACATTTGAATAATTACTCAGCTTGTGTTTACTTTATTGAGAAGAGTTAATTAAACGACGAAAATCAAAACCAGATAGATCGACTTCATGATGGCACCAAATAATAACAATTGCTATTATTTTTAATACATATTCAAATCTGGACATTACATTTTTACAAGGAATTTTAAGTTCACAAACACGATTTAGAGTTTATTGCTCTACAGTCCAAAGTTTAGGAATTGAAGTTTGCAAATAAATAATCGCATAAATTATGCACTGTCTAAAAGTTTATACCTTCAATAAATTTTCTCTAAATAAATAAGTAGGTTGGACCTACAACAATATACCTAAAGTGAAATAGATAATAAACAGCAGGGAAAATTCCTCAGGAAATATAACACACATTTGAACAAGTACACTTACACGGTGGCGATGTAGGTATTCGGTAATATGAAATACCTAAGTAGTAAGGCAAATAAAACTATTGATTTATGTCCACTTTCCGCCTGTGCATATTTAAAAAAAGTTAAACTACCTATGACTTGAAAATATTGTGCATTGTTTTATAATTTGGCTTTTATTCTACAACTTCCATTGTAACAGCACCTCATAATCTTTTATTAAATATAGTACTTATCTCATTTATATAGGTCAAGCAATTTTCAAATTACGATATTAAGAACTTACTATGTATTTATTTTTTCCTTTCTGTGTTTCTGTGTAGGTACTTATTTTAAATAGCAACTCATAATTAAATATTTAAACTCATAGCCGATAAAGACAGTGTATCGAGTTCGATCAGTATTAGGTATTAATTTAATACCTACATAGAACACTATAGGTATCGTTGTAATTAATAGCTACTGAAAACTAGTCACTGTTCTATAGAAGTTTCGGTTATATTTTATTTTATAACCTATTGTGTAAGAAATAACTCATTTATTATTCCTACATCAATTATAGAAGGTTAAAATAAACAACAACAAATGAAAAATAATACATACAAGGTTATTCTATGTGTCATAGGCATACGAGTGACTTCAAACAGGTCATTTAATCAACCGCCAATCCAGTAAGATAAAGCCTTTTAGTTATTTGCCTAGTTATTTTTGTTATTAAGTTAAAAGTATAACAACTGTTGCTAAGTAACGTAACCATAGTAAGCTTACCCTTTACTGGAGATACCTATATTCTTGGAACTGGCCGTTAATGTCCCAGTTTATACAAAAAAATCTACCCACTTAAGCCTAAAATTTAAAGGGGACCTAGGTATATATAAAATAAATTACTTGGTCACGAATGACTTAGCGAAAAAAAAATTCCCTTACCTTTTTATGAAGTGACAGGTAGGTAAGTTTGTTGGTTTATTTACTTAATATAATTAGTCAGTTTATCAACGTTTTTACACTACAATTTTATTTGCTCTTTTAGTGGCAGTTATGTAGCAGGTATCGAACTTTATTATTATAAAATTTCTTTAATTTATGGCGAGGTTGACAACGAGAAAATAAATTTTTGAGATGAATATGAACAAATCTCAGAAAGTTAATTTATATTACCACTTTATAAAAAAATATTGTACGTATGTAGCTTGACATGTAGGTAGACTACAGGTATGTATGTTCTGTGTACATGGTTAGTTTAGTAAGCCTATGTTTTCAAAATAATAACTGACTAATTTCCAGAAGTAATTATAGGTACTAGGTACTATTTATTTTGTGATGATAGGGACTATCTACGTAGGTAATCTGTTTATTGTGCTATTTGGCGAAATAGGCAAAGATGAACATTTTTTTTAAAACCATGCTGGACTTACCTTCAAGAACAGATCACCAAAGTCGTACAGCGCAGACTGATGCATTATGGCAGTAGACATCATGCAAAACGAGCTCGACACTCAATCCAGGTTTCCGATTTGATGCTGCAAAAATCTGCAAACTGAACCACTGAAGCACGAATTTGGAAGGTCGACGAACTCACTGTAATTTTTGATTAGATTTAAAAAAGTCCACGATGAACTTGTACGAGAATTTTATAAATACATTAGATGTTTTGATAATTTTGTAAATCGTTGCTTGTTTGTTTTTTGTTAGGTGACCACAGATTGTGTTCGAACGAGTAGGCCGCGGGGTCAATATTTTTTAATATACCCTTTACGAGTACAACCAGATATTATTTTTGAACACAATTTCGCATTTTTTGCGAAAATGTACAAAACAGTCCTTTGTTTCGAAATCTTCACTTTTTTTATTTTCGCGTCTATACGGAAATACACAGGTTAGGTCAAATTCTGCGCGTCAAATTATCGAATAAAACTTATTTGTTCTCGACTATATACTCCAAAAGGTTTCTGGCCGTATAAATAGCAAGATTAAAAAATATATATTCGCAGAGTCAATGTCCGCGCAAAACGCACCACACGATCATTCCGTATCACGCTTGTTGCCGCACTGAGCTCGTTCGCTCGCAGTCTCGTCTCGCACTCGCCGGCGTTTGTAGTTGGTTGGTGCAAGTTGTGGCTCGAAGCCGGCAGCAGACGGGTGGATTTTGTTTTCAAATCAAACAGCGCGATCACGTTTTGGAGCGAGATTCGTTTTTCACTCGTGTGCGTTCGGCATTTATCGACTATATTCGGCTGTTTGTTTTTCTACTCTGCTATGTTGTCTACAAAAATGACTTAACAATTTTTGCTTTGTTTTCTAGACCGCGTTGTTTGTAATTTTTTTAAATTAAAGTAGGTATCTACTATAGAAAATTTTTGACAAACGAAACCATTTGTCAAATTTTGACACATTTTACTATGTATGACGTAGGGTTGCCAACCGTACTATAATATATAGTATTGTACTATATTTCGGGTCTGCGTACTATATACTGTTGAAGAAACACATTGTACGCAAAATACTATATTTTCAACACCAAAATCTATCAAACAAATTTTTTATTTGAAAAATGTATGAAAGTGCCTTTTCAGTATTTTTTGACTGATGCAATAGCGTGTATAGCGTTTCCGAACGTATCTTACTGCGTTCCGAACTTGTTAAAGTCAAATGACAGAGTCAAATCTGGGTTGCGTTCAAAACCTGTACAGCAAATTTCAAAATAGTTGTTATAAATTAAACAAAAAATACTCATTATTCTTTACTCATTACTCATTATGTGTTGCAACACTTCTATAACGATTCGTTAAAATTTTGTATTTTCTTATCATTTAGGATCGGTTCACCCACTCAATTTATTAATACTAATAATTAAATGTTCACTATTAACTTAACGACATTGATAATTATCAATTCAGTTATCTCTTCTCGTTAACCAAGAAACAGTTAAAATACGTAATAAAAACGTTTTAGCAAAAAACTTAAGCCGCCGAAAAACTAAAAAGCTAAACTAACTGATCTATCTAAAACGTCAGAATTTTTTTTGAAAGTTCATGAAAAGAAAAAAATTGCACTGTAAGGTTTAATATTTCCCGAACGGATCCCTAAATGGAAAAATAATCTTAGCAACCCCTCGTTTAATCGTTTTAAAGGACATATTTAATGATACCCCACACAATGTAGATGTAGATGGTAGATGATGAAAAAAAAATCAGTCCCACTTTACATGTAAGGGATTTTATTGGGTAGGGACTTTAATTCTTTTACCAACTTTATATGGGACCAACTTCGGATTATATCCTTTCCAATAAAAAAAAATGATCAGAATCATATTTCTCTGTAAAAAGTTATGCGTAACCCAAGAAACTTTTAAGTTCCTTGGCGTAACCTCCTATGTTTCCTTTCGTCAGTTGAAAATAGAAAAGGTATGTATTACTTACCTCATACTGCCTAATACCTCGTTTGTCACATCACAACAAATTATTTAATTAAGAACCTATGTCCTATCAAAGTTTGAGTTAAGTTATTCTGTCACTTTCTTTTGCGATAATTATATAATTAGACAACACGTGACTTAATGAAGGAATAAAATGATTAGTCATTTCTGAGTAATATCTATTATTAGCTATTAGACCGCACTTAGAATAAAAAGCTTAAGCTCAACAAAGACTTAAGCATTTGTGTTGTCTTGCTATGTTGTGACGCCATCAATATTCTTATGTTTTCACGTACACACACCAATAATGAGATTAAACACTTTCTAAAGAGGCTCCTTGGTCTGGTCACACTCTTGTGACCAGGGTGCCATGTTATCAATAAACCGAGCTTCGTAACCTTTTCAAAAGTGCTTTATTAAATGACGTACCTCTGAGTGCGATTTTAATAATCCATTGATTAAAAAGTACTAATAGTGCCCGCGGCTTTGTCTGCATGGAAAAATGTATTTCTCATACAAACTTTCACGCTCCTTATCACCCCTTGAAGAATAAATTCGGGCACAAAAAATATATGTCTTTTCCCGGGACTCAAACTATCTCTTACCAACTACTTTTACCAAAATTTATCTAAATCGGTCCAGCGGTTTAACCATGAAGAGGTAATAGACCGACAGATACACTTTCGCATTTATAATATTAGTATGGATAGTGGAATTGTTTGTTTTGCAAACAAGCTTGCTTGCATTGCAGGTTGCAGGTCACTAAATATTAAATAAAGTGCGTAAAAATAATAAAAAACGAAGACATAACTGCCCCGCTAAAAACACAAAATGTAAAGTCAAAAACCATAAAAGCAAGTTTAAAACATTTATTGTAAGGGGGCCGCTCCGCAGAACACTTTTTAATCTAATAAATCGATGATTTCAATAACTTTCAAAACTTGTTGTTTACTTTCAGGTTAAATCATTTGACTAAAAACAGCCATGTTTTTTAATTGTTTTGCAGCATTTAAAATTAACTGTTTTGCTGCTTCGCTAATTTCGGATGCACACCTTAACAACAGATTAGAATTAGAAGATCGAGGTACCAAATTGTATTGTTTTCACTGTTTTAATAAAACGGCGACCTGACTCCACCATGTCATAGCGAGTGGCACTTCGTCATGATGTCAAGAATTTTAATGATACCCTATACGAAAATTTATACTTTTCAAGCATTATGAAGTTTAGGTGAAGGTGTGAAAAGAAAAATACATATAATGCTATTTACTTATAATAAACTCTAAAAATATTACACACCTTTTTGGCAGTCGTTTAATAATTATGTGAGTACAATTATATTAATTTTCTATTTACAACTAGCAGGTTTATTATATAATTACATCTTTATAGAATCCTTCTATAAAATAACGAAACTCTTCAAGTTAGATTCGGGCGAAGAAGTGCTAAAAATAAGCAGTCTGAGCGTTATACAAAAAGTTGCAATTTTAGAGCTGGTTTCAACGATCGAGATGACCGCTGCCGCCCATGCCAGCTGAGGGTGCGGACACTTGCCCGAGCGGAGTGACATAATAAAGTGACCTCGAGTAAGACTTTTCGAATAAATGAATGACTTTATACACGAGTTATTAAACGCACATACAGTTTCTCTGAATTAAGTTTATTGATGGGAAGCATCTATTGCAGCATAAAAAGGTGTTATAGAGGTTGTTGATCAATAACGCTCGCAATGGCAGACATACGACAGCAGATCTTCGTGACTACATAGTTAGATCTCTTCACCTTCACGCGGTTATTGGTATCAATTCTGACATGATTCTCTAAACCTAAACTTAAATTTGACAACAGTGTATCCTTGTTATTCTCTATACAGAATGAAAAGGAGAGACTGATGTTAAATTTAGATTTAAGTTTAGAGAATCACGCCAGAATTGGCACCAATATCCCCATAACCCCGTTTCTTTAATATTAAATATTTGTATGGCATCTTGTTCTCAAAAGGAATAAGATTCATCTCATTTTTTATCGTAATTTTAATAATGATTTACAATTTTTCTAAGGCAGCTTAAATTGTGCACTTTGGGTTGAAAATAAAATATCTAATATATGACTAAAAATAATCTGCCTATGATTTTGTCGCTGTCCTCTAACACCATAATAGTGGCTTTATACTCGGAGCGTGTCGCGTCTTTGGAACAACTTTTTATTATAGCATTCGTTGGTTGCAAACTCGTTTTGTGGTTTGAGTTTAATGCGTTAGGGTCTGACCACTTCACCACGACTCGGCGAAGTCATCATCGCTGGGAAAAGATGCAGTTTGGTGGTGATACGGCGTGGATGATGCAGTCATGGAGCCACCGGGCGTATTGTCCTTCTACTATATCGTGGCATCGGCACTGTACCTACTGTGTCACAGAGTAAAGGTAATAACATGAATAATCCCTTATGCTGTGATACATCAAGCTACCACATATTGTAATTTTTTCTCAAAAGATGTGAATCGAAGTCATTTAGACCAAGACAATTTTCATTTTGCGTAACTTAAAACGTGGTTGTATCAAAAATTAGGCTTAAGGTGGCATTAAGTCAACTCATTTTTGTGTTACACTCGTTTTAATTTTTAATATTGTCTACTCTTTTTTAAAAAAGTAGATAACTAAAATGATGATGACAGTCAACTACTATTGTATTGTTAATATATTACCGCGATAATGTGCCTTCCACACACACAAACCAGAAACAGACTTACTCTCTTTGATTTTTTGAGATAATTTATTTTTGTGATTGACCATGTCATATAAAAATAACATTTGTAGCATGCATAGCATGTGACAAAATGTTAATGAAATTTCCACGATAAATCTAAAGAAATAGAAGTATAAATTGCTGTTATTGGTACGGGGCCCAAGTGAAATCACACTAATATTATAAAGGCGAAAGTTTGTGAGTATGTGAGTGTGTATGTTTGTTACTTCTTCACGTCTAAACGGCTGGAGCGATTTTAATAAAATTTGGTATGGAGTTAGCTGACACCCTAGATTAACACATAGGCTACTTTTATCCCGAAAAAAATGTTAGGTTCCAGAGGGATTTCCAAGAAACTTAGTTAACGCAGACGAAGTCGCGGGCGATCTCTAGTAAATAATAAAAAGGAAATGCGTTAGTGTAGTCTCAGAATAATATCTAATAAATAAACCATTATTTTAAGGCACACTAATATTATAAAGGCGAAAGTTTGTGAGTATGTGAGTGTGTATGTTTGTTACTTCTTCACGTCTAAACGGCTGGAGCGATTTTAATAAAATTTGGTATGGAGTTAGCTGACACCCTAGATTAACACATAGGCTACTTTTATCCCGAAAAAAATGTTAGGTTCCAGAGGGATTTCCAAGAAACTAGTTAACGCAGACGAAGTCGCGGGCGACCTCTAGTAAATAATAAAAAGGAAATGCGTTAGTGTAGTCTCAGAATAATATCTAATAAATAAACCATTATTTTAAGGCCCTACTAATGGCATTTAACGAGGAAAACAGTCTGGGATTGCAGATTTTTAATATTTTTTTAATGCTGACACAATACAAATATGAAGTGATTAAAAACACATTAACAGATTAACATACAGATTTA